CGTAAGCAAACACCGAAGACCGACCAAATGCTATGTCTTCTTCCTTCCGGCGGCAAGACGTTGGAGATCAAGAGATCTTGTCTACTTTGAAGACTTAAACCCCCGCAGCTTTAGGGTTTAGGGTGTGCGGTTGCAATCTCCGTGACGGAAGGTTTGTCAAGTGTTTCCCGTCTCCCCTCCTCAAGATACTGGTTTGACATGCCCGGCTCCTTTTGCCGTTAAGCTTTGCTGAGATCGCAGAGTAGCGGAGTGTCCAGAACGTCAATTCTAGCGGCCTCGGTAGCAGAGTTTGCTTGAAGTTGCAGTACAATTTTCCGGAGAAGTTCCGGGAGAGTCCTATTTGCTAGGCTTCCATGCGTAGAAGGAGGTCTGCCCAATGGAGATGGCAAGCTTTCGACCTGCCGTAGTGGACATTGCTCGCCTATCGGTCCCAAGAAGCCTGATGGAAGCCCCAAAGTGTGCAGGTCGAGCTCTTCACACTTCTGCAGCTCGTCCTTGCCGTCGCATCTGTCCGGAGCCCACGTTGCTGTAATTGATTCTGCGGTTGCGACCTGTAGACCATGTGTTTTGTATGCGACTTCAGCATGCAAGGCCCTGGCGATGACATTCCTTACCTTCGACCTGCTGGATCAGTGGGATTCTCTGTGCTTGGAGCACTGTGCATCGGCAGGAACTCTTGCCGCATGTCGTCGCCCAGGTTTCTTGGACGCCTGTCCGCACGGCACGCTTCCACTTGGCCTTCCGTTGAGCCCGTGGATGTGTGGTGCACCCTGCCAACTGCCAACAGCTTAGCACGGCTCCGAAAAGCTCAGCCCAACACCCGGAACCCCAAAATGCTTTCATTTCAGACCGCTGCAAGCTTCTTCCCTGAGGTCGACCTGGCCAGCATGAAAGCTCCTCCGACCGAGCCTTGCTTGGTTTCGGGCTACAAGGTGCCCTTTGCCCTTCAGTCGCCGAGGTCTCAATGGGACTTTTAAGGAGTACCTGCTCGGGTCTGCTGTTTTTTCTGTGCTCTGTTCTAGGCTCGATGACCTCTTGGATCCGAGGCTCCGCGGGAGCAGAACCATGATTTGCGCACTGAAGGAAGATTTTTGTGAGAGAAGGTACCCGTGTGGGGACCACCCGGCATTGATGATGTATTCTCCAACTGGCATTTTCTCATCTTATGCCGTCGAGCGAGAAGTGATGGGCTCTGTCATGCTCAGTCTTTTGCAATATCGATGCTGCTGTGGACCTCACGTCAAGCAAACAGCTTTCAGGTTGTGCAGCATGCAGATGGCCTCCGCTTTGCGGATGGTTCGCCCGAACGGCCAGCTCACGTGCCTTCTCCAAGCACCCGTTCATCAAGTGCCAGGATCATGTCGGTCTTCTTGTAGCTTGTTGTTTTTTGTCAAGGTGCATCGGATGGAAGACTTTGGCGAAGCTATCTCACATTTGTGCAGACATAGTCCGTGCGACATTCAGATTCCTGGCTCAACATTCAAGAGAATACATCCTGAAACTGCGGACGGCCAGATCAGATCGAGTGGCAGTCGCATTTTCGTTCGAGGTTTACCAACACTGGGAGCAAGCCTGTGATGTATTTCCGCCAGGGCTTTCCACCAAGACAGCGCATCTTGACGGCCATGCTGGACTTCTGTGGCGTTGCATCGCGAGCAAGTTTGCTGCACCAAAGGCGATGAAACGCTTCGAAGCATGGGAATGAACCCAGATATTTTCACCGACTTCTCAACCTATTGCTCAGAGCCTTGTCTGCACATATGAGCCTCTCTCTCTCTCTCCCTCTCTCTCTCTCTCTTCCGTCTGCCACTTGATTAGTTTCTTCCGTTAGGATCTGGGCTCCGTGACTAACTTCCACTACGACCAGAGCCCTGGATTTCTTCAGATGTGTTCGGGACGCAAGAAGGAAACTCGCCGGCACTGGGATCCAACCTGGAGGAAGCTTGACATAATTGATGTAGTTGGCGATGACGCCGAGGTGCTGATCGTCCATCCACGCTATTCTGAGTACATGCGTTCTCCAGTCGACGAGAGGTGGCTACTTGTAGCATGTGTTTGACGTTCTGATACATGTCGTGTATTTTCGTGTAACGATTCCTTGGACTGCGATTCGGCAGGCGATCTTGGATTACGACGGAAACGCAGGTTTCGAGTGGAAGAGCGCTTCTAGATGGTGCACCGCTTCGTTTCGAGACTTGATGTCCTTAGTCCATTCTTTGGCAGGCTGTCACTGTTCCGCACTGGAACATTATGCTGCTTCCTGGTGATTGCCGCGTCTCCGCATCCTATCAAGAGCGGTGACTGTTGCCATGTGCTAATGTTGCCCAAGGTCTCTACATTCCAGCTGGGTACTGGCACCAGGTAACATCGCTTGACTCACTCACATTGGGGACGGTCGTGCGCTACAAGAAAAGCAATGGCACAGGTGTTTTCCAACAAGATGGCAGACCTGCGCGACGATGCACGTAGTGCATGCAAGCGCAATTCTTGGCCATGCCGTCATCCACCAGAGCTGTTAAGCTCCCATGCTCCCTGTCTCCGCCATGCGTCGGGACCTGCGGTATGCTTTCCGCAAAAAAGATGTTGCAACACACGCAAGACAAATCACCATATCTGTGACAGATAATTTCGGACTAGCTTCATGCTGAGACACTGCACAACGCAGTTCACAAGACTTTCACATTGTGCTCAGAGTGAAGGACTCCATGTTGCAATGGTTTGGTGTGAAGCGCTGCGCAGATTTGTCCTGGTGTCGAGCACCATGCGGGTCTCGTGCGCACAAGTCGCAACCATGTTGTTCCACGGATTGCTGCTTGACATGGGTTGGTCTGAGCAAGCTTTTTGATGATCCCTCTCGGACGGCTGCAAGCCTTCGTGCAACTCGTGAGAAATGCGTGCGCCTCCAGCGAGAAGCCGTCGCCAAGGCAGATATCTCGGCTCCGCAAGAGAGTCTGCGTGCAGCTGTTCGACACCTGGCGGCTGTGGAGAGGTGGCTCCAGCCAAAGCGCAGCACATCTTCAAGCAATCTGCGGCAGTGTGAGCCAGAAGAGCTTGCCGCAGAGCTTGGCCTCACGTCACTTGCAGGAGGCGAAGACTTGGAAGACTTCGTGGAGCACTTTGCCACGGCAGTTGGAACAGGTGAGTTGCTAGTTGCTGCCATTCCCTGCCTTCTGCAGTCCAAGACATTTCGTCATCCGGGCACCTTCTACATCAGTTCAGAGCGACTGTGCTTTCGCTCTTCCGTCTTAGGTATGGAAGCCCGCTTGGCGATTTCCTGGTCTATGGTCGAATGGGCCCGGCTTATCACGAGCGAGACGAACTCCATGCATCCCGTGCGGGTTCGTCTCAAGCAATCTATCGAAGTTGACGGTAGCATGGTCGATAGCTTCGACCTCCGGATCTTTGACGTTGGAGCCTTGGCGCACATGCACAGCTGTGCCACCTATTTCATTGGAACAGGACTCTTCGACATCGTGCCGTCCGACGATCGTCGTAGCCTGTCTATCCTTTGTCCATCTCCATTGGGTGATGGCAGTGGAATTGGCGAGACCTTAGCGGCTGGACCCCGTGCACGCGCACCCACGCTGACAGCTGAAGCCATGGTTGCAGATCTGGAGCAGCTGAGTTTGGTTTGGGAGCTGCAAAGGCGAACGACAATCTGGCACAGTGACTGGCGAGCCCCCTTCCTTCCGCACGATTACCAAAAAGCCATCAAGTGGATGTCTATCCAAGATCATTACCTGCCGCACCCCTTCATTCCCGAAAACATTGATGTCGATGAGGCAGCTGAGAGCGAAGAGCCTCCAATCGAAGAGGTCCAGTTCCTGGGCAGGAAGCGTGCTTGCAAATGGGATGTCGTGGTGGACGAAAGCACAGATTCTGAAGGATGGCAATATGCTGTTGACTTTTATTTGGAGCCCAACAAGTGGAGCAACAGCCTCCGAGGCTTTTCACATGTTCGCCGCAGGAGATGGCAGCCTACCTTCACAGGAGAAGTGCCCGTGCAGGAAGCAAGGACACGAAGGTCTGTGTCTTTTGAGAGACACCGGTTGAACTCGACGCTGATGGCCGAGAAGGGGGTTTCGCCGCCGCAGCAAATTCTGGTGGCTGACCTAGGGAGCATTTCGCTCCAACAAATCCGGGTTGATTTGGAAAGCAACGATTGGGAAGCAGAGCACAACCTGATGTCTATGCACTTTCAAGATCTTAAGATGCATAGCATCGAGCTTGGGCCATGGGTGAGCGGCACATCTTCGGGTTCCAAGGTGCAGGGCAAGCTCCGCTCGATGTCCATGCGTGTTCCAGTTCCTCCGGCACCCATGTGTCCGAAGGAGTCCCGCTGTGCATGCACTTGGCATGTTGTGTGCGAGGATGACAGGTGCCTGCTTGAAAGCGTGATCATGTCCCTCGACGTGCCATATGGAACGTGCTTCAATGTCATCAAGTGCGATACATTTAGCAGAGATGAGAAAAGCGGTAATACTGTGTTGGAACGGAAGTTCTCTTTGGAGTGGGTTAAGGGATGCTGGATAAAGTCGCTGGTGGAAGCGAGTGTTCCAAAGGAGGTCAAGGCAGATGGCGAGCAGTGGGCAGAGCTCATCAAGAAGTGGGCTCAGCAAAAGCCCACGAAGCCAGAAGTAGTTGAAAAGAAGAAGAGGCCACCTGAGCTTCGATAAAGCTTCCCTCTTGTGAAAAGTCTTCAAGACAGCGAGTTGGCCCCATGGCTCGCAGAGAGTTGCCGAAGATGAATCCTCGTCCCACTGCTGCAATTTATGCGTATACAAGGCTCAAAAGTACCACGGACTTGTGCAAGTTCGGTCACCGTCAGCGGACAACCCAACAACCCAGAGCCCCTACGGCGGAGCTAGGGATAAATAATCGATTTCTGGACTTCTGCGTAGCTGGCTCGGCGCCTGGATTGTGAGGCATCTCGTTGAGAGTATGATAAACTGCAATTGCGCGTCGTTACGATTCCAGCGCCTGTCGGCCAGGGCAGAAGCATGGCGCCTGCTGGGAGCAGCTCAGAACGCGGTCCCATGCTATTCTGCACCGCAAGCGTGGACGTTGTCGCGACTCCTTCAGCAAAGGTTCCAGCTCAAGCAGATCGTCGGACGAGGATTTGCTGCTTCCCCTGCGGTTCAGGTAGATTTGGCAACCCACCTTGCATGTTTAGGACCAGCCCATGGTTTCAGTCATACGCGCTGAACTGGTCCGCGGGCACCGCCCTGTCGTAGTCTCCGAGGCGCGTGTGGGTTGGGAGAAGGCCCCCCTTAATTCCAGCCTTGGTGCAGAACGACCGGCAACACCTCTAAGGCTTGTGGTACACCTGCGGCAGGTGCCTGTTTACATCGGCCTGAAGGACAAGGATGGCCGGCAATTTGAAGACAAGGGAACTTGTGTTGAGCTGAGATCTTTCGTAGGTCATAGTTCAGCCATTTATATGGCATCCAGCGGAATTGTCCTCACTCAGGCCCTCACGTGAACTATCGCTGGCTTCGAGGCCCAGTTGTGAGGCGAGCTTCCCGGAGATCTCAGACACCGTGCGGCTCAACAGCAGTTTCGGTTTCGAGGCCGTGTTTCTACCACCCGCACAAGCAATCCCTTATCAGGGACGTCGTGTGGAGCCTGGCAGTTGGTGTCGCTTCAGTATTGGTTCTGACCATCTTCTGCTGTTCCATGGATTGCTTGCCTAGAAGGCAACAAAGCAAGCCTACTGGAGCCCCCCATGAATCGCCTTGAACTTGTGCTCTCCATCCCTTGTTTGTGTGCAGTTGTTGCTTTGGTCTTGAGACTTCAAAGCTCCTGGCCTAGTGCTGAAACTTCTTGCGTTAGGCAGTTCTTGTTGTCGACATGAAGCAAGTGTGCCGAGGCAAAGACGCGCTTGTGCTACTGCTCGAAGGAGAGATTGCCCGAAAGATCCTGAAGCCATGGTGCCGTCCAGATTGCCCCTGAGGAATGCTTTCTCAAAGGATGGAGCAGCATCCCACCTGAGAAGCTTGGAGCCTTGAAGCTGTCGGGCTGATGGTGCTTGCCTGTTAGGGCCAGGGCACATTCTCGAGCGGACTCGCATGAGGTATGGAGATGCTGACGAGGATGCGAAGCAGGCCGACGGCATCTCTTTCTGTTGCGAGCGTGCAGTCGGATGTTGCAGCTCTTGCAAAAGGCGAAGCTGTCAAGCGGTTGTGTTCGGTTGAGCATCGAAGTACACTCGCATGGTCGTGCTTGCGTTGACACTTCATCATATGGACAGGTCCCTAGGTAGCTGCAGCAGCAGTCAATCCCAGAAACAGCAGCGCGGGCAAACCTACGTTTCCCTGCAGCTTGTGATTATGTTGCTCCGAGCGTACAGTTTGTCCAATTTGGAGATTGGAAATCTTGCCTTAGCGCAAGACGTCAAGAAAGGGCATAATGCGCCCGAAGAACTCCGGGACGACCGTCAGAAAATCTGAAGGCAAGAGCAGCTATGACTGCACGTGTTGTCAGGAGCCTGTTGCGGAATGGGTAGAAGTGGTGCAAGACTCAGCAGACATCACCGGAGGCTTTGCTTCGAGCTTCTTATGTGTATAGAGAGACTGGAAAAGAGGGAGTCAGCCTTAAGGCTCTTTTATCTTGTGCTATCCCAGGACGATCCTGTTGCACTCTGTATCTGATTGCTGCTGGAGGCGAACACGCGCTCCTACTGCCCTCAAAAGGAGGCTCTAGCTTTTTGCAGTTGTGCGTGCTGTGCATAGACCCCAACTTCCCCGCTTGCGCTTCCGCTCGTCACTGCCTACGGTGTCGCACGCGTAGGACATTGATCGGCCGCTGCGCTTGGAGATCATTCCCAATCGCAAGGACCGCATAAATTCACGATGCTGGGAGCTAGTGCTTCCCTGTGCTAGCACAATTTCCAGAAGGACGGAAGTGTTGCAGAAGCCAGCAAGATGGTCATTACCACGGGCACGGTCATTCCAACCCCGAAGGAGGCTCCAAGCTGCCAGGATTAGGGCTTAGGGCTTCAAGACAACGTCCATCTGACGAGGTACGCGTGCGACGAATGGTCACCAACGGCAAGCACCTGAATGCGTCGGTCTTGGCTAGATGCAATCACCCCCTGTATCTCGGATTCCTTCGTGTGGAAGGCTGTTTGGTCAGAGTAGCAATACGGTTCCTAGGCAGAATGGCTGAACAAGCAGTTCAAAGTCATGAACTGGAATGTCGTGACCTCGTGGGTTGGACAAGTCTTCCATCATGTAAGCATCAATGACGAGAGCACAAGGTGCTTGCAGACCTGTATGCCACTGAATCGGTCTTCCGCCTCAGCTTTGGCCGCTCCTGCCGGGCAGGCGTCTGTCCATACACGTTGCTTATTTACCTTCCGCTTGCGAGCACAAGGTTTATCCATATTGCGAGAAGTGGGCACTATCGTGGAACTGGAGGAAGCACCTCATCATGAAGGCCTTGCTTGGTGCACAAGTCATGCAGCAGCAGAAGCGCCTCTGATGCGTGCAGCATGTCTGCAGGAGCTTAAAGCGCACGCGGCTGACATCATCACTCTCCAGGAGGCCGGCTCAGCCAGAGTTCAAGTCGACGAAGGCTCTTAATCTACGCTGGTGTGTATCAGGTGCAGAAGGATGCATTTGATGACTGGTTCAGGCAGTCGCTTTATGTTGTGTAGACATCCTGATTTCGTCTCGCCGGAGCACAGAAAGAAGCAGATAGCTTTGGTCTTGCGTGATCAGAGGCCTGGGCTGCAAGAAGCTGGCTACGAAGGTGTCTTTCAACAGAAGAAGCGGGACTCAAGCCTATTCAACATGACTGCTGCTGCTTCCTCTCCTTGGACATGCCGATCTGTGAGGACCCAATCTTCCACCGAGGGAAGTACACGGCCGAAGGCCGACGGGCAAAGTTGCTGAGAGCTATCACAAGAATTGACTCGTGGAGGCTGTGCTACATTCTACAAGCCGACACGCTTCCGCCGCCTTGACAAGCAGGCAAGCAAGTGTTGCTAGTCTGCTGCCAGCTGCAAGTGAAAGCGTCGCTCCAGGTGATTGACTACGATCGCATGTCCCAGCAGGAACTGGAGAGGCATTTCGGCCGACAAGATGCTTCCAACATGCAAAGGCTGTCCAAAGGCTCGCCGGTTGCACTGCGACACGTAATATCAAGTCCTTGATGCAAGAGCTGTTCCCTCATTCCTGCACAGGAAACATTGCCCTCGCACTGTTGCTGGAGGACCAGCACATTAAGGCTGATCCGGCCAGTGGCCAGGCCTGTCGCGGTCGCCTGGTCAAGGAGACAGCCTGATATTTTTTGGAGCAGAGGCCGGGCCGAACGGCGGTCACAGCCTGGTAGTTGCTCGGAGCCTAGCGGCTGAGCATAGGGCGCGATATTGAGCCGCCGGAACAGTTTTTGCAAGCCTTGGTGAACGTTGAGGTGAACACCCACATTTTGTGCGACCCCAGCGCTTCGGATGTGAAGCTGTGGCAGGTACCAGAGCCTTCATTCATAACTATTCTGTCTGCATTGCATTGCATTGCATTGCTCGCATTGCGCAGACGCACTTGCTGCTCCAAAACCTGAAGCAGACGCGATGGGATCACATGCCAATGTTCCCAGAGACTGTCTTTTGCAAGCAAGCTGTGATGCAGATGTAGTTTGTTGAGGCCTCTCCTCCTAGCTGGAGATTTTAACTCCACGCCAGAATCTGCTGCCGCGACCCTGGTTTTGCATGTTTTCTTCGATGGATCAATTTGCCTTTGACTGTCTGCCCTCATCAGCATCAAATTTCGATCGGTTTCAGGTCTACCAGTTTCTGCGAGAGGGTCAAGTGATGCAAGAGCATGAGGCGAGACTTGGAGGGGGCGGAGACACTTTGTTGAAATGGATCCTTTGCGCCAGGATCTAAAGCATGATCCTTGCGGGCTCCTAGGTCGGCCTGCACCCTACAAGCGCATTGAACGCAGCATCACAGAGCACAGACGGCGTTGGAGTATCTGAGGCTGAGAGATCATATGCAACACAACCTGCAGTTGGCCACAGCATATCAAACCTGCAATGGAGCGAGCCTTGACTTCTGTCAACAGCCCCTTCAGCTGTCAGCTAAAGCCATGTTCGCGGAGGTCAGGAAGCACTCTTCACCAATTACACCGAGGACAGCTTTGATCAAGGCCGACGCAAGACAGCTCGCTTTGCTGTCTGCGCAGGACTTCAAGGGTGCACTGGACTATGTGTGGTTCTCCCATCAGGCATCGGAGTAGGCAATCTACTTCTCCAGTGCAGTGCAGCCGTTGAGAGGAGCAGCGTAGTGCATGTACACTCTTGTTCGAGGCACTATCGGTACTGGCGGTGACGCAGGTGGACGACGAGCAGAGCTTGAAAGAGGACCCTTAGTCTCTGAGAACACAGCCTGGACACAGCTTGCCTGTTATCTTGACATGGAATTTCGCAGGAGACAGCCCTACCATCCAGTAATCGTCCATCGGACCACGCTGATCTCTCGGTTCTTTCAGCTGAGTAGTCGACGGAACCCTCTGCCTCGAGCCTTTTGAGGTTTCCCTGGTTGCAACCTTCATGTTCCATGACATCGTCCCTCACCACGAGCGCAAGGCAGGATGGTAGTCTGCAGTTGAAGGATGCTTTTGCACACGTTCCAGGTGCGGCAACATGCCATGAACGATGTTCACGCGTGCGCCTGGAAGTGTTCAACTTCACGCAGCCTGCTCCGCTGCAGACATGATCCCGCGATCACTGGGCAGGTACCACATGAGCCTTGCAGGACAAGGTCGGGAGTTGGGAGCTTGAGCTGATGCGATCAAGATGTCATGTTGCCATGCAAGGACCTTGGGGCGACTACGGCATGTGATGGCTCCTGGAGGGTCAGTTGCAGGATGCTCAGAGCAGTTTCGTGACGCTACACTTATCTCGCAGTGAAAAAGCTTGCAGGAACATGGTCTAGGTCCCAAGGTAGCTCAGGCGAAACATGCGTTCTTTACCTGAGGATGTTCTAAACGCCTTCCAATTGGCACCCCCGAGGCTACAACTACTTGGGCCAGCGGATAGACTGAGTGCCAGTGGAATTTGCTGCCGTGCCTTGCGGGCAGGCTCTTAGTAGTCTTAGTGTTGTCAATGTTGTTATGTGCCTCAGTACCAGCGCGCTGAGGTGTTGTCTGGCTCTGCCAAAGTGCACTGGAGTGGTTTGTCAGGGCAGGGCGAGATGATGAACTCCAGAGAGGTGCTGATGAATCTGTCAGTGCCGCTGGAGGAACTCTGTCGGGCCAATATGGAAAGGAGCCCATGGAGGATCTCTTGCCACGTCGAACGCAAGTCAGGAAAGAGGCGCTTCTGGGGCGATTGGCCCAAGTTTCAACACAGAAGCTTGTAAGCTCATGCTGCTTGGAACCTTGACAGTCCCGAATGGTTGGCCAGCTCAAGCAGCTTGCTATTACACAAGCTATGCATGATTAACTCAAGTCATGCCAGCAGACAGCATCAGCTTTGCGGTTGCTGGTCTTGCAACGTAACGCAGAATCCCGGAAGCCACCAAGATGGGGGCCACTTGCTCGCAGAATTGCCGCTGGAGCTGTTACCTCTCAAATTTGTAGCACAATCCTTTGACTGCAGTCATCGCTGTTTGCCGAGTGCTGAGGCTTGCCAGGCAGCGCAGGCAGATTCTGACCCAGAAGGAAGCCGCCACGCTTTTCAATCGGAGCCATACAAACCCGTGTGACTGCGCTGCCAGTAGCAGTGGACGACGAGCCCCCTCCACGGTTTCCGCCAGCCGCCGGAACCTCGTGAACTGGCTGGCTTTGATTTGGAGGTTCTTGTCACGGATGGCACGTCGTGCTAGGTGTTCGAGAGTGATGACTGCAACATGGAGGACTATGACCCTGAGGCAGGCAGTCCCACGACAGGCTAGGCAGACATGTCATGCGTTTCTACGGACTCCTCTGTCGTGACTTATGAATCTATCTTGGTAGAGTAGCGCAGGTTGTTGGTGCTGAATTGAAGGGCTCACCTGCAAGGTTTGCGAGATGGGTGTGACACCAATCGAGATCGGTATATTGCGGAACAACCGCACAAACTTGGAACTTGTTGCCTTTGTGCGGTTGCCAGTACAAACAGATTTGTCGGTTTTTACGGTGTGGTGTTGCTGTAAATGACCGTCGCGCCTGAGAACAACAAATCACATAGGGCATCAAGAAATCACATAGGGATCAGCAAAATCTCAAAGCTCTGAGGTGCTGCGAGTTAGTTGTAGCATCGGCTGCAGGGGAGCCCAAGTGAGCCAACAATGCGAGCTTGGAGTGATCTGAGGGGGTTTTGGGTTTTGGGTCATCGAGGCTCCAGCGCACAGGAGCCTCAACAAAAATGGGAGAAAAGGCTTCAATCGTACACGAGGGATGAACAGTGAATGCCTGTAGGGTCAAGCTCCATGTGCTGGCAGGCAAGGCTTTGCAAGTTCGCTTGTGGCAAGCAGCATGGCTGCAAGCAGAGATGCGTCGAAGCCATGCGTGGCACACTGCGCACATGTCCAAGGCACGGTGTGCGACACCGATGTAGTAATGTAGGACCTGGTCTAGAAATTGCGCAGGTTCGTCGTAGCATTTCTACAGGGAATGCTCCATGACTCCGTCTTTGCACAGCCATCAGTCCGGGCTCTGCAGTAGGGCTTCAAGTTCGGCTAAAGTAAGTTAAGTGCAGTAGCGCAATTCGTTGCCCGTTGTGCGGTGTGGGTTTGATGATGCTTGATGCGTGGGGCGCCCGATCGCCTCTCAAGGCTCACCGCATCTGTTCCAGAAAGCTCCTTTGTCCAGTTCAAGTCTCACTCTAGCCATCATGCTGACCTGTGCAAGCTTGCATTGCAGGGCTGGCTTTCGTGTTCTGTGAGACCCACTGCCATCCAGACATGTCAAGACACAGTGATAGTGATGCCGTGGCGCCCCCCGAGGCGAGTTCAGCCTGGCGAGACGAGAAAAGGTAGGAAGTTCGACACTTGCTGCAGGAGTCTTTTGTCTCCTTCTGCTTCTTTCATAAAGAACCGAGAGTGTTGCAAGGGTCAGCATGCTTGGAGGATGTGCGCCATCAACAAGGTTCAAGCCCAAGGTGATTTGCGCTACCATGACCGGAAATGCCAGCTTTGCTTCCATCAAAAGCCTTGCTCGACAGGGTGGTGGATTTCATGATGCCACCTGTGGAGGGAAGTCCCCGCCTCCGGTTGATTCGCGGAAGGTCGCGGTGCTGCCTCTGGTCTAGTTTGTGCAGCTTACAGATTTGCAGCTGACAGGCATGTGGGAAAGGTTCGAAGTGCAGAGATCGCAGTGAAGCCCACTTAAAGGCTCGGGGTGCAAACTGGCGTAACCTAGTCGTGGAGCTGCCGATGGCTTCCGTCTTTTGGGGTCCAGGCCATGGCGCACCCCCTTGACGAGGACGTGCCTATGTTGTTAGCTGATGCCCTTCTTCCTCAGAGCCGTCAGAGCGTCGTTTTTGCTAGAAGCTCGGCTTGGAGTGCCGGCCGTCGTTATCGCTGATCGCAACTTAGTTTTGCCTACGATCCCCGGGTAAACTAGTATGCACACTCTACACGCACATCATCAGGTGTCACTCAGTATAAGGACAGCCGCATACAGCCAGCATCTGGACTGGTGTATGTCGAGTCCCTCTATCCTGTCGACGTGGTGAGTTGGTGAGAGCCATGGGCAAGAAGAACAAGAAGTCCTCGAAAGAGCTTGAAAGCAAGTCTGATAAGCTAGCTCTCACGAAACACGGAGAGCTTTCCCGAAGATTCAAAGAAGTTCTTGTTGAGATCTTCACTCGCTTTGACCTTGACGGAGACGGCGTGCTCTGCGATGCAGAATTGCAGGCCTTTAGCCGTGTAGCCAACAAGGATGGCAGGGAGTTCACGGAGGTGGAGCTATCTGAGATGAGGTCCATGTTCCACTGCAAAGACGGAGGCTCGGCTGCCGGCCTGGCTTCCTCCCCTGGCCTCACTCTACGTGGCTTTGTGCAGCTCTACGAGCGCCAAACTTCCATCTCCGAAGAGGAGACCTGGTCGGACCTCGCCCGCCTCGGCTTCAACCACTGCCTCCAGGCGCAGGGCGGGGAGGCACCTCCTGCTGCAGCCCAGGAAGAGTTGGAGGAACAGCTCAGGCGCTTTGCTTCGTCAGCAGAGAAGATGTTGGTCATGCATGCAGACGATGCACAGAGAGTGATATTGTCCAAGATGGCAGCAGAGATGGAGCTGGAATGTCGCATGCTCCAGACGGAAACCTCCGCCATTCCGTGCTTTCACGTCTTCAAGAAGCCACAAATGTCAGAATCCAAGACACATGAACGACCAGCATCAGCCCCCGCTAAAGGCAAAGGATCTCCGGTCTTTACGGGACTGGAGCTGGATGCTGAGTCCTGCAAGCAGGTTCTTGATACCTTCGGTGACATGGTGCCTTCAGGTTGGCAAGTTTTCGCCCACCACATGACAATCTGCTTGGGCAGTCTGGCCGATGCTCGATCCAACGACTGCGAGGTTTCACGTGAGGTGCAAGAGTCTATACGCAAGCTGAAACCCACCGACAGCCTAGAACTGCTTCCATTCTGCATTGGCAGGGCTGAGGGTGTAATCGCCCTTGGAGTCCTGGGATGCCCTTCTGTCAATCTCGTTCCGCACATAACACTGGCTTGTGCAAAGGGGCATAGGCCGGTTGAAAGCAACAAGATCTCAAATTGGAGGAGCTTGCCATCGGAGAAGCTGCTGCCTGTGACAGGACATGTCCGAGAGTATCAGCAGGCCGAGGTCGCTTCTGGCTTGACAGCCTCCGCGACGCAAGATCGTCAAGAAATCTTGGGCCGATTGGAGGCGCTAGAGGCTCAAGTCTTAGCTGCTCGGGCAATTTGTATGAAGCAACTGCTGGAATCTGATGACGACGCTGTCCGCCGCGCCATTGAAGAGCGTGAGCGTGAGCTTTTGTCCCTAAGCAAACTTAGCGATGCTGAGCAAACTTGGCAAGCCGCCAAACCTGTCAAAGGCAAGCCTGGAAAAGTCGTCGGATGCGTTGGATGAAGCTTTCAGCTTTCTCAGCAAATCCTTTACCGACTTTCATTGGCTTCGCCCTGCAGGACTATGCCATCGCCTGCTCCATGACAAAGGACAGCCGACAGCTAACCCCGTTTTGCCTTGGCTTCAACAGTGAAAGCGGTGGGGGTCTCCGTGGAGGGCTTTGAGCCGGAGCCGATCACGCTCAGAGTGGTTTTCGTGCCCTGCTCAGTGTCTCGAAGTCGAATCCTGTGCAGCCCAGCTTCAAGCCCAAGGACTGGAGCGACACAGACGGCTCCGGCAAGCTCTCAAGAGAAGAGCTTGAAGCGTCTCTGGGCAAGATCAGGCGAGCTTCGTCTTCAAGCCATTGTGCCACAACTCTTTTGGACGTGAGCCGTTTTCGAGGGAATGCTGCGGAGCGCTCCCTGAGATTACTGACGAGGCACATGCATGTTCATCACAGTTGCAAGGACACAGTGAACTGTTCCCCGAAGGCATGGCATCATCTTGACGAGGATAGCATTCGTCTCTGTAGTGGACACCAGTGGCTCCGCTTGTTCTCTGTCTTCTGAGCCGTTTTGTGATCTGCCACCTTCCGTGGTCTTTGAAGGACGGCAATGGTGTTGTCAACTTTGGCGAGTTCGCCGCCTGGGCCGGGCCACGTCTGGGTCTGGAGCTAGGCGAGCACGGAAAGTCGTAGCGAAGAGTACACGGAGACTGAGACATATAAACAGCATCTCCGAGCTATATTTGAGCCATACGTGGCATCAGTTCACTGTGTGGGAGGCGTCAAGAAGATGCTGGGCAAGCCAGCAGCCTAGCCTTGACGAGCTTCT